AAAAAAAAAAAAAAAAACACTTTAGTGCTGCATTCCTGTAAAACCAGCTACATGGCAGGCTGAGGTAGAAAGATATGTACAAACCCAGTCTGGGCACAATGTAGTGAGACTCTGTCTCAAAAATAATAAAATAAAAAGGGCCAGGGATGTATCTCAGTGCAAAGGCCCTGGGTTCAATTCCAAGCACTAGAAAGAACAAAACCTTAATGTCAAAAGTGAGAAGGGCCAAGGATATAGCTCTGCAGCACAGCACCTGCCTGGCAATCTCAAGATCCTGAGTTCAATCCCCAGTACCAAAAAAAAGTGAGAAGAGAACTCAAAAAGAAGATAAGAAGCAGGACTAGGAAGGGAGAACAAATACACTAAAACAGAGTGGAGGGTGAAGAATGAATAAAAATGGTGCAGGGAGTAGAGAATGAAAGGCAGAAAATAGTATTAAGAGGGAACAGAGCTGGGTCCCAGTTACAAGGAGACCAGTGTTAAAAGGATCATTTCAAGAGGGACAGCAATAGCAAAGTTAAAAATGGGTCCAAAAAAATATTCGGGCAAATGGACAGCTCCAAAAGGGATCAAGTTGGGGGTGGTAGGACCTAAGTAAGGATAGGAGCAGAACTGAACAAATGAGGATACAGAGCAGGTGGGAAAAGCTCTAGGGGCAGGTCTGTGCGATGCAGAATGGGAACCGCACAAGTGACCGGTCAGTCCTGAGAGGCATAGCGAAGTAAGGGCAAGGCTAAAGCCCCACAATGGGCAAGGCTAAAGCCCCACAATGGGGAGAGGCAGGAAGCAGATCTTAGGCAACAAGGAATTGAAAGACTGGCCAGAGGAGGGGAGCACTGAATGGAAGCGCTCCGAGGAGGGCCAAAGGAAGGTGAGAAGAACACTAGGACAGACATAATCAAGCTGAGGGAAAGTGAGTTAGGGAGCGAGGTCAGGTAAGCGAATGGCAGACACGACGAACCTGCACAGTCAGAGAAAGGGGAGGAGGCTGCTTCCTGGGAAGACAGAGGCAGAGAGCAAGCAGGCCAAGGAGGCACGGCAAGATGTGAGTCCAGTAAGGGCTTAAAGATAGGATACAAAAACGTCTAGAAGAAAGGAAAAGGGTCTGAATGTCAAATGGGAGCAAGTGCTGAGAAGAGGAGGAGAAGTCAGAGAAGGGTCAGAGGCAGCCCAGAGACATCCGGAGGTGCAGCAAGTTCTGAGAGGGCGAGCTTCGACCAAGAGGGAGATGGAATCAAGTCCCCAGGAAAGACCCCGGGCAGTGCAAGAGGTCTCGGATGTATCTCCAAGAAGGTGCAACCGCAGGTCCTAAAGGGACAGTTCCTGGGGGTGCAACACTAGATTGTGAGACTGGATAATAGTAGATAGGTCACAGAAGAGCCCGGGGCCAGATTCCAAAGGCAGCGAGAGCAGAATCAGAAGGCAAAAGGGCCAAGCATCTCCCAAGTGCGAGCCAGCATTAAGGGATGTAGCAGGGTCACCGAGGAGGAGGTGGGTCCCACGAGCACTGCAGAGTCCAGGAGGGGCTGAGGGCATTTCTGGGACCGAAGAGGGAAGCGGAGAAGTGCCGGACTGGGAGCAGGGTGGCCGGGAAGGTGGATGGGGGACAGACAGACCTCGCGACCCGGCGGGCGCAGAGACGCAGGGCGAAGGGCGGACAAGGGCCGGCCCGAAGGCGGGCGGACCCCGCAGGCCGGGCCCCAGCACCAAGCGGTGGGGACCGCGGGCCCGGGGCGCTGGGGGGCCGCTCCCTCCCCTCCCCCTCTGGCTCCTCCATTGTTCGCGGGCTCCGGGCCCCGCCGTCCCCGCCTCCCCCTGGACCCCGCAGCGGGGCGGCGCCCGGCCTCGCAGCACTGGGCCCGCGAGCTCGCGCACTCACCAGCTGGGCGCCCTCAGCGCGGCCGTGGCCTCGGGGATCCGGGCCGCGGCGACGGCGGCCCCGGCGCCATGTTCCCCCACTACTAGTCCGGCGGCGGCTGAGGCGGCGGTAGCTCCGGCGGGGGGGGCCGGGCGGACCCTCCCTCGCGGGCTCCCTCCTCCGCCTCCTGCCGCGCCGCGGCTCTCCCTCGGGGCGGGGGGCGGGGAGGGAAGGGGGGAGGGGCGGGAACCAGGGGGAGGGCGGACCGGCCTCGCTCGCTCCCTCCCTCCCTCGCGCGCGATGGCGGCGGCGCCTCCTTCCTGCGGGCGCCGCACCCGAGAGCGCGCGCCCTCTCGCTACTGCGCGTGCGGGGCGCAGGGACTGCTGCAGGGGTATAACGGCCCCCAGGCGCGCGCCGCGAGGGGGTGAGCAGCGCCGGACAAGAAGAAGAAGCAGCCGCCGCGCGCGCGCGCACGCCTGAGGGGCTCGCTGCCACCGCCGCGGCCTGAGGCAGGGAGAGGGCGCGGAGGGAGCAGAGCGCGTGCGCCCCGAGAAAATGCCGCTACTGCGGCTGCTGCGGCGCGAGACTGAGCGCGAGGCGAACGGCCAGAGGGAGCGGGGTGGGCAAGTGCGCATGCGCAGTAGGGGCTGCCAGCCGGCGCGGCCGCTGGCGCAAGGCGGAGGGAGTGGTCCACGGGAGGCGCGCGCAAAGCGCGCGCCAGAGGCAGTCTATCCCCAGCCTCACGCTGGCTCTGGGAGAAAGCAGGAGCCGAGAGGCATGGCCCGGCTCCGGAGGAGGAGACGAAAGGCGCGATCCCGCTCGCGCGGGACCTGACCAGCCAATGGGAGACAAGAGAAGGGGGTTTGCCCCGCGAGCCGCAGCCCCCCGGATAACGGAGGCGGAGAGGAGGAGAGACGTAACGTCGGGTGCTGGGGCGCTGGGGTGGTGGAACGGAGCTAAGAAGGAGGGAGCGCACCCAGCGAGGAAGTTGATTAGAGAGTACTGAGAGGCGTGGTCTGCCTCTGCCCAATCTGAGCCTTGCAATTCGTAGTCCCGGAAGAGAGGGCGGGGCTGGAGAGCGCGTGCTCTTACCTCTGGTAGTGAGGAGAATCTGCAAGCAACGCGCGCTTTGATACAAGTTGTTCATAATTCCACGATCGTTCACGGCCTGGCAGAGGGAAGATGGCCTCGTCCTGCATGCAGTCCTGGCCTCCAAATCAGCATTGTGCAAATAACTGCCAATCAACTGTCGGTTCGGACGTCTGGAGTGGAAATGGTGGAAGAGGGCACCGCTGTAACACTTGATTTCCTCTGAACCGAGGAGTTCCTCTGCGACTCCTCCGGAAGTATGGATTGTAAAAAATGAGCTCTCTGAACCCCGAGTCTGTATTTTGGAACGCAGAAGGGCTATGTTTCCCATTGCACTTTACTTTTCCTTCCTTAGTCTCTTCATCTGTAAAATGGGAAAATTATACCTCAGAGGGGTGCCTGAAACAGCCCAAATTTATGTATGTGTGCGTCTTTTTTAATTTTTATTTTTCATTAGTACACGTTTGAAGTATATAATGATTACATTCTTGGTGGATGTTTTTGTATACGTACATACTTGTAATAAAGTTTAAAACAGACACCGTAACTTAGCGGATTAACAACAAAAGTAATAAAATAGAACAATTGTAACTGCACTGATCTGTAATGAAAATAATGTGATTGTGGACGCTCACTTGAAAGATTTAAGACAAGTAGCAATATTTTTCCACCTTGTTGACCATCGGTTCCTGAAACTTGGGAAAGCAAAACCAGGGCTCAGTGGTAGAGGGCTTCCGTAGCATACAGAAAGCTCTGGCTTCATTCCCCAGCACTAGGAAAATAAAGGGTAAAGGGCTAAAGTAAGACTACTCTGTACTTGTGAAGTGCTAAGAATCATCCCTTGCATATACAAAGTGCTCTATAAGCATTAGTAAAATTACATGGGCTCAAATTTTAAAATGTCTCATTAAGCAAAGCTTTTCAGACTAAAGATTGTTTCCATTGAACTTTTTCTTTTAATTTCTTTACATTTTTTTAAATTTAACGCTTTTAATCCAGAAAGTCTTTCTAGTTTTTGTTTAGTCTGGTTTGTTGTTTTAAGACAATCTTGCTGTGTAGCTTAAACTGGCCTCAATGCCTCAGGAATGCTGGGATTTCAGGCAAGTTGACACTATTCCTGTCTAATTTTTAGGTTTTTAAGGCCACGCGTGGTGGCATATGCCTGTGATCCTGGGGAGGTTGAGGCAGGAGGATTGCCATGAGTTCGAGGCCAGCCTGGGCTACATAGTGAGATTCTGTGTCAAATTTTTTTTTTTAATTTTTGGTACCGAGAATTGAGTACTCTGAATCGAACTCAGGACCTTGTGCTTCCCAGGCAGGTGTGGCACCACTGAGCTATATCCCCGCACCCCCCTACCCCAAATTTTAATGACAAATTTTCTAACTTCTTCTTTTTTTTTTTTTTTGGTACCAGGGATCAAACTCGGGACCTTGTGCTTTCGAGGCAGGCGCTGGAACCACTAAGCTAAATCCCCAACCCCTAACTTCTTAAAAGCACTGTGGGCCACCAAATCAAATGCATGGGCTGTCAAAAACCTCCTTTGTGATTTTGAGATCACCTTAGGAAATACTGGAAAGCTAGGAGTCCGGGGGGAATAGTAGATACATCTACCTCTAATCATGACCTTTATAATGCCTATGCAGTGTTCCAGGTGCTTCCATTCTTGAGAATTTGTGAACTGGCAACCCCTCACTCTAGACCCAGATTTCTCATTCTTGTCTCCTATAAACTCCATCTTATCATTCAAGTCTCACTTCCTCAAGAGTGGCCTCGAAGGTCTGGCCCAACTGCTAAGCCTTTAACAGAAGTATTTTGTGCTAAGCAACATTCTAAAGCACTTCAGCTGGACATGGTGGTGCATGCCTGTAATCCCAGCACTCAGGAGGCTGAGATAGGAGGATCACCTTGAGTTCAAATCCAGCCTGTGCTACCTAGTGAGTTCAAGGCCAGCCTGAACGACATTGTCTCAAGTCAAAGGGGGAAAAACAATATATATATACACATAGCACTTGAGAGACATTAACTCTGTCCTCGCAACCTTGAGGGTGAGGTATAAGGCACAGTTTACATAGCTAGGAATGGGTATATCTGATATTCAAACCCAGACAAGTAGGGTTCAGGTGACTACACACCTAACCCACCACTCCATCAGTTCTGTGTTGGTGTCAGCATTTTATGTGTCCCCTTTTAAGGTTGGGACTCTGGTTAGTTCCCAAGCCTGTCAAATGATACACAATAAATACAGTACTTGTTAATGAACAAGTGAATGAATCCAAAGCTAAACTAAACTAGAAGGACGGGAGGCACTGCGGGCATGGTAGCTAAAAAGACAATGTCCTTGTCCACCGACTAACTCCTACCCTTCTCTCATATGCTAGCTCCATGGATGTCTTCCTTCAGGAGGGCCTCCCTCCCCCAGGGAGGCCGAGGCAGAGTCCCGCTCCAGCCTTCCACGTTCCCTTTAAGTTCCCCATCCAGGCCCTGACCCTGCTGGCTTATTCCAGTCTGGTAAAGGGTCTCAGTCATCGACATGTCCCTAACAAGGGCCCAGGCCCAAGGTGAGACGAGCCAGTGTTTTGTTGGATGGATAGACCTTCAAGGAAGGCCTTCCCGGTTCTGCAATTCTTTCCAGCATGCGAGAGGGCAATGGTAGCTGAGCAAGCCAGGGACAGGAAACAGGCTTTCCCGGGGCGACCGCCCCCGTTCTCGTCCAGCCCCCACTCCGGATAAATAAACAATCGAATAAACAATTAGCCGGAAGACAGAAGTGGCAAGTACCGGCTTGGGCCGCTATCAAGATCATCCAAGCGTTGCCCTCGAACCGGGTTACACCACGCACGGAAGCACTGTAGGTACGAGGCGGGAGAGAACTGGACCCAGAGCTTCGGACAGATGCACAGGCCATAATAAATTAATAAATAAAAATCTAAAAATATTAAAGGATCTTGCATAGAATATAGGAGTGCTAGGACTCATTCTGTCTCCATTCCTGAGAGTCTGAAAGAATCAGAGAGAAGGTGGGGAACGGGTCTATGTGTGACCAAGGAGTCAGTGAACCCACAGCGCCGCCTGCAAACGGATAGGAAAAAGCTACATCTTCGTTGGAGCCGTCGAGGACGTCAGCGAACGTGAACTCTTCTGCTATTGGCCAAGAGAGCAGCCAATCACGAGGGAGGAACGGGAGGTGGTGATGTGAGCGTCCTCTGGGCAATCTCAGCACTCCTGGCCCCACGCTTCCCACCTGGTGGCCACTCGCTGAGTATTTGAGTGAAGGCTGCATGTTAAACCTATTTTTATAAGCTTTAAAGATTGAAGTGTGGGCCGGGTGTGGTGGCGCACGCCTGTAATCTCAGCAGTCGGGAGGCTGAGGCAGGAGGATCGCAGCGAGTTCGAGGTCAACCTGGGCTACATGGTGCATTCACAACCAGCCTGATCTATATAGCAAGAACCTGTCTCAAAAAAACCCAAAAATGAACAACTAAAAATCCAGGGATGGGGCCGGGGATTTAGCTCAGTGGTTTCGCCACCTGCTGAGGCAGACGCAAGGACCCGAGTTCGATCCCCGGTACCAAAAAATCAATCAATCAATCAATCAATCCAGGGAAGTAGCTTAATGGAAGAGGACTGGCTTAATGTAATGGAAGGAGGTTTCAGCTGCTCCCCACTTCCAAAATACTCAGTATTAACTATCTTTAATTTTGGCCATTCGAATAGTTGTCTGATGTGGTTTTAATTTATCTTTCTCAAATGATTAGTGAGATTGATCATATATTATGCCTTTTTTTTTTTTTGGTACCAGAGATCGAACTCGGTCGAACTTGTGCTTTCGAGGCAGGTAGCGGAACCGCTGAGCTAAATCCCCGGCCCTATTATACCATTTGAGTAGCATCTTTTGTGAGGTGCTTATTCAAATCTTTTTCAAATCTTATTTTTTGCCTATTTTCTCTTGTGTTATCTTTTATTTTTGCCTTTTTAAAAGTTGAGATGGGGAGGTCTGGGGATTTAGCTCAGGGGTTTCGCCGCCTGCTGCGCAAGCGCAAGGACCTGAGTTCGCTCCCCGTTACCCCCCACACACACACACACACAAAATTTGAGATGGGAATCTGCCTATGTTCCCCA